TTTTTATCATATTTAGTCAACTTGTCCTGTTTTAGTTTTAGTCGACTAAATGTCTGAGAATTTTAGTCAATGGAATTCTAGTTTTAGTCAATGGAAACTTACACATTTTCGTCATATTTTCGTCTTACTGTATAATGGTTAAAATGATTTTTTATTTTTTTTTGCCCAGTTTTAATTGCAGTGATTGTTGTCATTTGGGAAATGTATTTTTACATTTCATCAGAAGTTGCTCTTTCACCAATAAGCACAAATCAATAGAATATCGACTCGTATGCATGGTTTATTTTACCTTATCTAACGTTAGTGTACAGATTTATAGCAGGATATCAATTAGAGGCTAAATAAACACCAAAGACTTCAGATATAGCGCGCGTGAGTTCACGTCTTCTGGCTCTTTAATATTTAAACTGGCAAGGCTTAAATGAGTTTAGTTTAAACACAGATAGCAACGTGTGCTGTTCAGGTCTCACCTGCGCTATCAACACGTGATGACGGCATAAAATAAAGTTATTCCAGCATAAAGCACTCGCATTGATTAAAGAGGTACTGGTTTGTCCATGTATTGTTGTTTTTTTTTTCTCTCATTGATCTTGTTGTAATGTATTTCAGAAGCCAGAATTTGTATCCATCAACAGAAACATGCATTAGACGAACTCTAACAAACCATATTACAGATGCATTGTCAGATTTAAGTTGAACCGTGGTCCTAGTGCATGCCGAACCGTGTGTGGAGAACGGTACGGTTCGATTTTTTTACCGAGAACCGTTGCACCCCTAGCGCCGACAGGAAATTTCTATGTAGTATACTTGTTCCTGTTTGCAATAGTGCTACTGTGCTGTAACATGGTGTAGTACAGCTGTACTGAGCAACTCTGGTAAAATGACGCTACCCTCTTGTGACTAGTGTTAATTTTGTCAGCTATTTTTAATTTAGTCTTAGTCCTGGACTATTGCTGCACAGAGGTTGTGTAAGTAACGTTACAATCAGCGACCACTATCGCAAACAATACAGTCGAGATCCATGACAGAACACAGACTGGCTGAATAACACTTTCATTTAAGCAGAATACCTCAAACGGAGATCGCTGAACTCCAGCTTTCTTGTACAGTACTGTATGTCGGTGTTTTCAGATCACGGCGCCTCCGCAGAGAGAGCGTGTGAATGGTTGCCAGATTGCATAAAGCAAAAAGCCGGGCAGAGTACGTATCCGTTTAACAGAAAATCTCTGATTGGGTGATTTGAGGTCTTGATATCTGGCAACCGCAAACATGAACGCTCGCATAATAGTCTTGCACAGCAGTCTGAAATGTTTTAGCTCCACTTTTTTCCAAAAAAATAAAAAGGTTTTGGTTAAGTTTTTGTTCTTTTAACTACATTTTAGTCTCGTCTTTTTTCGTCAATGATATTACATGCTCATTTAGTCTCAGTTATCGTTTAATGACCTTATTATCATCTCGTTTTCGTCAGGGGAAAAAACCTCGTTGACAAACATTTTTCGTTATAGTTTTCATTAACGAAATTAACACTACTCGTGACGCTATGCTCTGCTCACATGCTCTGATAATTATAGCTTTGTAGGATTATACATTATTTGGATAATTAAAAAAAATATTAAATCTGTTGCATAGAAGTGAATAAAAATAATATGTTTATATTTAATATTAATATATTCTCTGTCCAATTTTATTGTTTTACTTTCAATAAAAGGGTGGTTATTTTATCTAACGTTAGTGTACAGATTTATAGCAGGATATCAATTAGAGGCTAAATAAACACCAAAGACTTCAGATATACACTCACCCTGTCTACATTATGACAACTGGCGTAACAAAAACCTACTCTCAAATATTATTACAGAGAAATTCCTAATAGTAATTCCAATAATTCCAAATTGCATTAATGTTTCTCTTTTAAAACAACGGCGACTATTGCTGCACAGAGGTTGTGTAAGTAACGTTACAATCAGCGACCACTATCGCAAACAATACAGTCGAGATTTTATTGTCTTTCAATAAAAGGGTGGTTATTTTATTGGCTTTTATTTATTTTTTATTCAGTACCATTAAAATTATTGAGTTAAATTAGGAAGTCTTACAAAATTATTTTATATTATTTAATAAAATAATAAATTATTAAAAAGCATTTTCTGTTTAAAAAAAAAAAAAAAAACCCCAACAAACTTAAAAAAAAAAAAATTTTTTATTCA